GAGTTCAATACCTGGTTAAAGTAGTGGAGAACTTGGAGAGATGAATTAACAAGAGATAATTGACATCCATTAGACATGGCACGTGGAACTAGAACAGTCTATCTCATTGAGCAAAATAAAGGGTTCAGTTCGACATCCCAACTACCTGAAGAAGGCCGGAGCATAAAATGGCCGAAATGTTGTGATAAATATGGCAACAAAGATGAGGACAATAGTCCAAATAGTGTACATAATACCTCATCTCAGGAATATAGACAGATACTACCAGATTCTTTTCTCATTATATATGTAATTAATAGTGTAAATAAAAAATTTGACATATTTAATAAATGCTATCTATATAACCTCATCCTGGTGAAGCTGGTTATTAAAAGAAACTTTCTTGGTGTTGACACCATATCAGTGAGTTGAATACCATACCAGTGGGGGTAGGCGACACACTATACTTCAGTACAAGTGGCTTTCCTTCATTGAAATATGTCATCTAGTTTTGTTGTGTCTACTTGTTAGGAATTCATGAGCCCTAGATTGTAGTTGGTCTGGGCAAAAATCCAATCTTACCACTTCTTCTATGTTGGATCGTCCAGCAGAAAGAGGGTGTAACACAGCCACAACAGAAATGACACTTGAAAAGTTATCAACAATTTAATTCTAGATGAAATGTAAAACATCGTACAACAGCTAATTTGTTTCTATTTCTTTCTTGCTGAACTTCAGGCACTTGAGAGAAGTATCTCCTAAGATAGAGATCACAAACCTTTATGGTTGCCAGGTCATTTTTGGTAGTTTTAAATTTTTCATAAACATAAATGGGTCACTCATATACTTACCTATATTTTTTCATGAGAAACTTGTTTCTGCATCTTTGTTGCTAATGTTTTAATTCAAAATTTCATACTTTGTTGTCTTCAACTTGATGCATGCAGCACTTGTTTCTATAGCAAGGCAATTCCTGGTGGTTGATTTTATATAGTTCATGGATGAATGAAAATGTTTCACATGAGTAGGAAGAACCAAAAAATGGTCAGCATTCCTAAGGCCAGCATTTTTATTGATGCAAGAGTTATTCTGCATTCTGCAAGGATGGTGTTCTCAGCTCTGCTTTCTAAGAGGTCATTTTCTTTTGTTATATAGGCTCATGATTTTAATTCCTTTTCTTGTAACTTCAGGTTATAGTTGATAATTTTTGCCTTCCACACTGCACTTTCTTGTAAGTCCACTAATTCCAGTTCCAAGTTAATTTAGTTCAAGCCAATAAAACATGGATAGCTTAAGATCAGGAGATTATGGAGGAATTGGATGAATTTCAACTTGTTTTCTTTCAGATATCTTGAATATATTTCTAGTTTTCTTTCAAAGTCTTTAATATGCCCAAACATTGACAGCAACATTCCCATTACCTTGCAAGTTTTTATAATGAAGTGTGAAATCTTCAAAAAGATTTGTCATTCAACCATTTAATGTCAGTTTTGAATAATCATTTTTATTTTTTACTGTACATCGTTGTACATGAGTAACTTAAAAAATTGAAAGTTAACTTTATTTAATAACTTAATAAATTGATGTGTGTTAAGTGCATGAGCAGCTATAAAATTTACAATTTTCTTTTTTTACAAAAAACATATTTTCTAGTAATTTCTAACTAGTTTTTACATAGATTGTTGATGCATAATGCAACAAAATTTAGCTAAATTGTGGTTTGCTTCTTGTTTCAGTAATTGCCCAAATCCAGCATTTTATTTCTTAATCATGCTTAGAACTCCATCTGTTGTCACAGATACAATATTTTCAAACTTAATGACAAGTTCAATAAATTCCTTCTTCCATTCCTCCATATCTTACTTGTTTTCTTTGAAAGCATCATCAATTTGATAAGTTCTTTGATTATATTTCTAGAAGGAAATCTTGTAACTGCTAAATGAACCACTTTCATCCAAACAAATTGAAAACATAGCTGCATTTTTTAAACCTAGTAAAAGTTGATCAGTTACATAACAATTATTCTCTCTTTGACTGTATTTCTAGTGACTGGCATCTCATTAATTCTTTTTTGAATCTCATCTTTATTCTGAATGTCTTCAAGCAAAAAATCTGAGCAGTTCATAAATGCCTCTTCCATCAAAGAGTGACTTTCCATGCTTAGCAATAGTGGAGGATAACTGAAAACTGTCTGCAGAAATATTGTTCTTCTTTTTTGGCTTAAACATACAGACAAACCTCTTATCAATGGGCTAATAGGTGTGGTCCATTAAATCTGATTGTCCTTAAATGGGAATGGAATTTTTTTTTTTTTTTTTTTTTTTTTATAAAACCACTATAGTAACTACCGGTAGTTATGATCATAATGTAAATACTATAAACATGTATATATGACATAAATAAATATATACTTTATATAGATATATTAATCAAAATAACAAAAATAATAGATTTCACAGACATGCACAAATGTATCATACTTTATATACTGTACACCCATTTTTGTTTATAATTGAAAAGCCTGCCACCAAGTGGTCACTTTGAGAACTGACTCATTCTGCTAAGCCCGCAAATTTTGAAAAATGTTGCTGATGATTTGGGAGTCTTTTTCCTGCAGATTCTGTCCATTGTATCCGAAGTTCATTGATGGGGGGGGGGTACATAGATGAGAAGCTTGTCTGTATTTTTAAAATTATTACATTGTTGTTCCTGTTGCTTTACTTCTCTCCAAATTTCTTCAACTGCCATTGAGCATAAATTCTGGTGATTGCTTTCAAAATGGTGCTTAATATTATATGCAGTTGAAAAATCATGACCTGCAGATGCAAAACAATACCCTGTCCAGTGGCAAAATTATGGGTGGTGCGTACTGCCTTAGCCACCAAGACTGTTACCTCCCCTGGTTGGTGGTAGATAAGCTTCCACATGTATGTAAAAGAAAAAAAAATGAAAATTGTGCATACAACAACTGACTCTTTGCATAGACAGCAAAAAGCTTTTTTTATTTTGCTCAATAACATCATATTTTTCATTCCGTTCTTTGTGAAAACTTTGTGGCCATTCTTATGGGCTATTCTTACAAAATGACTTCAGAATAGTCAAAAATTTTAAATTATCTGAGCAGACACTAAAAATAGATGAGACTACACAACTGTACAAAATGTTATAAAAATGGCTGAGTATCAGCTAGATGTGTTTAGAAATGCACAAGGTTAAACAAGACTTGAAAAATTGCTACATTTTATTGGTCAAGCCATATTTCAAGATGTTATTTTACTGACGCCACATGGCTCATTAAAAAGTTGATGGTGGGTCAGTGGTTTGGCATCTGTTCATAGAGATGTGTAAATACTAACATCTTTACAGTAATTGGCTTCTATGACAGATGAAAGACTTGGGTGTGACCCACTGTCTTTGTGAGGCACTCACTTTAATGATTCTGGGCAATTGGTCTCTCTCTCTCTCTCTGCCTGATTTCTGCACATACATATTTCACTTATAATAGACTTCTGGGCAAAGAATATATATATGTATTAATATTAATTAATGTTTAAATGGTGAAGTGTTCTTTTTTTAATTTGGCTTGGTGTTAGTTCATATGTTAGTGTATTAATTATGGATGGTTATATTTATACATGGGTGTGTGTGTGTGTGTGTGTGTAATGTTTAGGTAGTAAATATTTGTTTGTTATCTTTTATCTATTGTTACATTTTTGTTTAGTAAGTAGTTTTTGTTTTTTGCCTTGATATCTTAAGTATTAAGGTTTTAATTATGGAAGGTCAGGTTTGTGTGTACTTGTATATATTCATATATGTATACATGCATACACATATGTGTGAAAATTTCTCTGATTTAATCGGTAGAGAAGACAATATTTATGAATAAAAATGACAATAGGAAAACTGGTAATTGCAATTACCAGTTTTCCTATTGTCATTTTTATTCATATATATATGTGTGTATATTTATTATATTTATTCATTTATTATATTTATTCATTTATTTTTTGTTTATTTTTGTTTATTTTCTTTCTATTATGTCTTTATATCATTTTGTTTATTTCATGTTTATTCTATATATTTATTTTATTTTTTTAATTTGTGCTTAGATGGCAAAGTAAGTATTTATTTATATACCTGTATTTACCCATTATTTAAGTTTAAAAGTTTTTCATTTCTAAAAGTAATTATTAATAATTTTTCCTCTAAGCATAGTTTACATTTTTTACTGTTAATACTTTATGGAACTACCCTTTTTATAATTTCCCATTTGATTTTAGTGGGGATATTGCTTTCTTTTTGGGCTTATATGTATTTTGATAGTGTTTTGTTTGTGTATTTTTTCTCAAAGGACATTTTGTGGCTGCAGTATTCTTTTATGGTCTTTTTTTCTGTAGCATGTATAAAATTTTTTTTTCATCTGTGTTAATGTTATTACTTATGGTCGCTTTGCATATTATGTTATTGGTTAAACATTTGTTGTTAAGCAGGCAATTTTCTTTGTTTCTACAATTAAATTTGATGGTTGCTGAATGTTAGAGTTGCTGTAATTGTTATTGTTGTGGTAATTGTAATTAGTTTTGAGTATCACTTAATGGATTTATTTCTAAATGGACATTTTCATTACTTTAAACATTATTTTTAGTGGGCACTTTTGTTTGAATAGACTGCCATTTAATTTTTTTTTTTTTTTTTTTTTCAAACAGTGTGTATTACATCTACCAACCTTCACACTTGAGAAAACTTAAAGAAAATATACTCTCCAGCAGGGTTTGAATCTGCACCCCCCCTTTATAGTAGAAACCACTGTCATATCCAACATACTTTAAACAAAAAAAAAAATCAATACAGGGCATCTATACAAATACAGGTATCCCTAAAATAACATTTGTAGTAATAGTGTATATAGTTTTTATTTATTGTGTCTGTAAATCAAAATTCAAATAATATTCTGTATTCCATGTTAAACTAAAAATGTTTAAAAACTGAAATTATTTCTTCCTTTACCATTTATCTTGCAGAAGGGATCCAGCTTCTCTTGTGGAACCACCTGGATCTAAAACAGATATGCGATTATATGAAGAAGAGTTAAAGCGTCATTCCCCATCAGCTGTCCGTCATTTGTTTTTAATTCGCCATGGACATTATGATACCAGGCCAGATGAAGATCGCTTAAATATCTTGACACCACTAGGTAAGATGAGCATATAGTCATAACTTATTGTACTAGATCTGTCCCATAATAGCTATTATATTGTGTATGAAATGTATATGCAAATATGGATTCCACTCTTGGGATTGGAATAACTAAAAAAAAATATCCTCCTCTCCAAATTTATAGACAAATTGTACAGATGTATGCTTTTTGTTCTCTTGTCTTGAATTACTGCAATCAGTTGTTAAATTTATGGTGTTAACACATCCATAGATATGCAACCTCTGAAGATGGTCTCTGATGAGATTAGAAATACTTGGGGAAAATAAAAATTATTTGAAAGAAAATTATGGAATTTTTCTTTAATCAGTTTTCTACAGCAACCAAGAAATTAATTTGTGGACTTGAAAAGATTAAAACTAAAATAAATAGTAATATGTCTAAATTATTTAACCAAATATGCTTGAATAAAAAATATGCTGCCTAAAAATTATAGACTCGATGAATTACTTAATTATAATTATTTCAAATCCTCCTAATTTCTATCACTTGTATATCCTTGCTTGAACCAGCTTCTAATGCTCTGGATGGAGCGGCCTGGAGATAGAAGTCGTGGCTCGTGGGGGTATAGTCCTATGGGTAAAAGAAACTCGGATGAGTTCCACCACAGAATATGTGATCGAGCGGCACTATATCGAGTCTGATTCGCTACCTCTTGTCACTGAGGCCCATTGGAACAGTTGGTATGACATTTGCCTGATAACATAACTGTCCGGGTTTCAATTCCTGGTAGTGGATGTGCACTGCTGAGGAGTCCCAAATATTGGATGAAACAGCCATCCGGTGCTTTCTGCATTCTGTTGAGGTTTCTTCTAGACTCAAAGAATTACTTAATTATAATTATCTCAAATCCTTCTAATTTCTATGTGTGTTTATATATAAATGAAAAGAAAAAAACAGTAAGAAACATGATTATTACTGTGTAGCGAAAAAAAACATTTTCAATCAGTTAATTTATAATATATATATAAAATCTCCAGCAACGTGTTTTTTTTTTGTTTTTTTTTTTAATGACAGACAAGAAAAATAATTTTTTTCTTTACCATTCTCACATTCTTATCCTATATATATATATATATATATATATATATATATATATATATATATATGTATGTATGTTTACTTTGTATTAAATTTTGTCCTGTCCTTTGTTATTGTTTACTGGAAACTTTGTCAATTGTGTTTGTTGGGCATTTCTGTCAATTACATTTAGCCATAACCAATTACTCTACAGCAGATGTAAAAATTATTTTGGAACAGATAATAATTGTTCATAATTATATTTGACAGAAAAATATTGTACTGTCTCAAAACTTTGGTAGAATTTCTCTTATTTCTGGACTAATATTAATGTTTAATATCTGAGCAATTGCTCCTCCAAAATCAAGCTTTAGTTAAAATGCTTTTTGTGTGCCAATTAGAAAAGCCAATAAAAATTATTTCCTTCAATTTTATATCTTAGTACGTTGTTTATTTGGTACAATACATTAATTATTTTAACAATAATTTTCTCCAGGGGATAATATTGTTCCAAGTTTATTATAGCTACATTAAAATTCCCAGTGGAATGTTTACTTGAATTGGCACACTTATTTTATTTTGCAAAATCTCACTGCTATGACTATTCTAGATAGCATCTGTATTTAGTACAAGAAATTGCTATGGACAGAGCATGTGACTGTTTTGATTTTTTTTTTTCTCTCTCTCTCTCTCTATATATATATATATATATATATATATATATAGAACACTTTTGTGTACCAAATACAAATGCTGGACAAAATTATTTCCATCAACCATCTCCTCCTCTCCCCCCATATGCACAGTGTTTATTTAGTTTAGTACACTTATTACTTTTCGAAGAATTTTCTTAGCTGCACAATTATTTTGTATATATTTGTGAGTAAACCAACTTCATGTATAGTGTGACACCTGAATTTTTTAGTTTGAATTTTAATCTCTGCAGGAAAAAAAAATACCTGTGTATAGTGCGACCAGTGACCAAAAATGCATGGTTTTTAACATTACATGTGTATAGTCTGACCCCCTATTTTTTGTGTAAAGAAAAAAAAAATCATAAAAACTCACACTATACCCAAGTATATACCATGTATAACAAAATCCTTGTGTAATATTTATTTGAATTGCTACATTTATTATTTTTTAAACAATTTCCTCTGCTACCAAAGTTAAGTAACGTCTACCCTGGTCAGTACCTAAATGGGTAACTACTTGGGAATACCAGGTGCTGTAAGTTTGGATGTATGTGTGGTGTAATGGTCAAATGGCTCAGAATTGTTAATTGGAAAGCAAAATTTAAATTCCAGTTGGATTTGTGATATTCACAAATACCCTTGAGAAAGGTATAAATCCACTTCTTCTTCCACCCCCCCCTCCCAGCTATGGGTTAAGTAGTAGGATTTGTATCACTAAACCATTATCATCTCCCCCCAAAATTCTTAGAATCTTAAAATATTTTCTGGCTTTAATAAACCTGCAAAGGGTTGATAAGCCATAAAAAAACTAATAAATCAATAAAAAAAAAACAATTTCTACCATTTGACTATTGAAAATATTCTTGTGTATACATTAATGCTCACCTTTTACATTTTTGAACATCCTAAATTTAATATAATCAGATTCATAATCTATATATTGCTAGTTCAATGTCTATACCTAGTACAGCACAAGGTCAGCGGTTAAATCATATATCAAATACTTATATGATAAGGGTGGGATTGAAATAAAGAAGTTGCATTATTTAGTAAATTAAACAAATTATATCCTTTAGTATATAAATTGTATTTTTTTAAGTTATAACCATAAAAAAGTTTCTAGGAGGAATATCATAATATGCAAATTTATAAGTCACATGACTTCACATTTCTTATAAATAGTAACAGGTTCAATTCCAGCATCCATCATTTGGCATAAATAATGCTTTTGAAAGTTTGTGACAGACTTTTTTATTTAGCAATTGTCCTTAACAATTAATTGAGTGAAACTTGAATTCTATCAGTTGATCTCACATGACAGGTAGCTTAAATGTTGCTTTTTCTCTCTTTTTGCCTTCAATCTGTCCTGTGAGTATAAAATTTTCCAAGCCCTCTTTCCTCATTAGGTGCTCTATATATTGTAACTATCTCTGATACTAAGTATAAGTGTTCTTTTTGTTTCCATTTTCTCTAAAACTATGGTATTCTCAGCATCCTTCTGTAGAACCACATTTCTGCTGCCTCTTCATCTTCATTGTCCAGCATTTCTTTACCTTCTGTATAAGTTCCTGTACTTTCATTTCTATGTCTGCTATCAACATTCTATCACCTGTGCATGTCGTTAACACTGTGGCTATCAATAATAAATCCTGATAAGACTTCTAATTCTCCCAGAATCACTTCAATGTAGAGGTAGAATATATCCAGTGAGAAGACACATCCTTGTCTTACATCACTTTCTATTTTTGTATATTTACTGAACTCATTTTCTATCTGATATGTCCCAGAAAGGGATATATTTGATCAAAGTAGCTAAGTGGTTTAGGCTACTGTAACTGAGTAGAACAATCTAGCAGGTAACAATAATGGAACTGGTACTCATCGTAGTCACAGTCAATAGATGTAAGCAATAGGCGTAAACCAATAGGATAGCCAATGGCGTAGTCCAATGGGCATCATCTGTACCTCTACATCAGCCTGTATTTATGGTCAATCATATTCCTGTGAAGGGGAACACAGGTGTATACATATTCATTACATCACTATCCATGTACAAGTGGTTCACTCCCCAGTTCTGGAATATTTTAATATTCTTCCTAAATATACCAAGGTTACCTATCAGTTCCAATAGTTCTTTGTAACATACTTTATCAAATGCTTTTGTATGATCTATAAAACATAGGTAGAAACAAATTTCTCATCAATGGACTAATAGGGAAAGTGGGTGGTCCATTAAATATGATTGCAGATGGGAAGGGGTTATTTTTGAGTTATAAAACCACTATAGTGACTACGAGTAGTTATGATTATAATGTAAATACTATAAACATATATATATATATATATATATATATATATATATATATATATATATGGCATAAACATATACTGTACTGAATATATACACCATACTCCTCACACGCTTTCGCAACCGAAACTCCAGCCTCTAAATTAAGAAGTTTTAATTTGTAACTAATACTTAGCTTTTTACAGTTCTCTTTTACATTTTGAGGTATTTTTACCATGATGAGTGCTGAACAATTAATATATTAATCAAAATAACAAAAAGCAACATATAGCTCACAGCTACCTTCTCATGTACACACACTAATGTATCATACTTTATATACTGTACACCTGTTCATTGTTTACAATTGAAAGTCTCATTTTCACTGTCACTTTGAGAACTAATACAACTCTTTCTGCTAAGCCTGCAAATTTTGAAATACACCGCTGACGATTTGGAATTTTTTTTTTTTTTTTTCTTTACTGCAGATTTTAAAAAATTTTGCCTGCAGATTTTTCCATTGCATCCAAAGTCAATTAATGGTGGGGGACATAGATGAGTTTTTTTTCTGTACAGACATACCTTACATCAATGAATTAATAGGGGATGAGGGGTGGTTTATTAAAGCTGATTTTCCATATATGGGAAGGGATTATTTTTGAGTTATAAAAACACTTTACTGACTACCAGTAGTTATGATCATAATGTAAATACTATAAACATGTAGCTATGGCATAAATAAATATATACTTAATATAGATATATTAATCAAAATAACAAATATAATAGATTTCTCAGTTACTTTCTCATGCACACACTAATGTATCATACTTTCTGTCTTTGATTACAATTGAAAGACCTGTCACCACCACCAAGTGGTCACTTTGAGAACTAATACGACTCATTTTGCTAAGCTTGCAAAGAAGTCTGTGAGGGCTTTGTGCAAGTCTGCTTCATTGGTGAAGGATTTCCCACGTAGATGATTATCCAGGGAGTGGATGAGGTGGTAATCGGATGTCGCAAGGTCAGGTGAATAAGGTGGATGGCACAAAGTCTCCCACCCAAGTTGCTGTATGGTATCTCTGACCACTCACGCTACATGCGGCCTGGCATTGTCATGGAGGAAAAGCACACCTTTGCGATTCACCAGTGCTGGCTCCTTCTGGCGCAATGCCTGTTGCACACGTTTCAATTGCTGCGAGTATAAGTCTCCAGTGACCGTTTGGCCCATTGGTAGCAGTTCATAATGAACCACTTGACGACCTGTCCACCAGACACAAAGCATAACCTTGCATGGGTGCATAGGCGGTCTTGCGGTGTGAGGGACATCATCCTGAGGAGACAACCAATGTCTGGAACACTTGGGAGTTTTGTACAGAACCCACTTTTCATCACTGGTAAGCACTCGATTGAATAAGGAGGCAGTATGGTGGCGAGAAAGCAGCGATACGCAGGCTGCCACTTGTTGTCCCTTGTGGACCTCCAACAGCGTTTGCGGAACCCACTTGCTCAGTTTGTACGTCTTACCTAAGCGGTGCAGGTGAAGTCTAACTGTTTCATCGGAAAGTCTGGCAAGTTCACCACAAGTTAGACTACTGTCCTCTTCAATGGCCGCCTTCAGGACTCTTTCATTCAAGACCTGTGGTCGTCCACTGTGAGGCTCATCATGTAGAGACAAATCTCCCGGCTTGAATTTTCGAAACCAACGCCTTGCAGTACATTCATCCACAGCACTATCCCCAAACGCTTGACATATGCAACGACATGATGCAGCTGCTGATAAGCCCACTTTGAAGTCATAAAGCAAACAGCCCCGAACGAGATCTCTAGACACTTCCATCCTTGTCACAGATGTCCGGCTTATAACTGATGGTCAGGCACAGTGCGTGTGTTTCTTATAACGTCTGATGTTCCTACTTCCGGCTGCCTGAATTTGAAAACAATTGCTACACACATTTCACATATATTTCAACTTCATTCAATGACTAATCAAAAACGGACAGAACTTTTTGGTTACCTTGTGTGTGTGTGTGTGTGTGTATATATATATATATATATATATATATATATATATATATATATATATGTGTGTGTGTGTACATTTGGAAAGAGGTACTTTGAAATTAAGAACAATTTTCCTCATTATTGTACTTGAGTTACTTATTTAAAAGTTACTTGGTGGGTGTTCGGGCGTGGGGGGGTTGTTTGAGGAAATAAAGTAACAGTGAAAATTCTATTTAAATTTTGCATTCTTTCTAGAAAAGAATTTAGTTCCAAATAAATTGGATTTTTTTTTCTATATCTTTAGCACAAATTTCTTTCAAAGTTATCATTGTTGACTAAAAGTTTTATAAACTTGCTGTATTTTCATTCAAAGTAATAATACTACTTAAAACCAATGTTAATCTTCTATGTGTCATGTCCCTCTAGGATGGGTGTGATCACTGCTCTCCACAATTTCCTATTCTTTGTAGCTTTTATCTTTTTACTATTTACATCAATTTGCACAATCTTGTTAGGTAATTTATTCACCATTTCCCTTTGAAACTATTGCCTTTGATATTTCCCAAGCCTTCGTTCTTCATTATGTGTCCTAGAAATTTCAATTATCTCAAATTCTAACTATAAGTGAGCTTTATTGATTTCAGAGTTCTCAACAGGCATAATTGGCAGTTCTCCAACAATACGAGGAGGAATAAAAAAATATAGAAAAATAATACTAAGCAAACAATATATATATATATATATATATATATATATATATATAAAAATGAACTTTCCTGTCGGTTTCATTGTATGAGGATTTGACAACTTAACCAATTGATTCAGTTATGAAATTTTGTGCGATAATCTTTACAAAGGAGTCCACATATGGAGCAAGAGTCAGGATTGTGGGATGAGATTTGTTAGATTGGCTGACCTTTTAGATCTTGCTCTCACTTTGTCAGTGAGCAGATTGATGTTGTTTTCAGCACCTCAACTAGTTTTGTAGACAAACCATCTTTTAATCATTCTTTCCACTCATCAGGCAGTATCATGTCAAGTCAAAACTAGAAAAAGCAACAGTAATAAGACAACAAACAGGGTACAGTCAAGTAGTTATAGCCTGACTTCAGTGAAAGAAAGGACAAAAACATGGGGAATAAGACTGAGAATTGTTCATTTTTATTGCTTAGGAAGTGATCCCACTATGCATCTGTAGGATTTGTAAATAAATTTGACAAGCGAGATGTTCTTAGCAGTCATTCCAATAAAATGGAACCAACATTGAATACCTATTCTAAAAGTTAAAAAGATATTTTAAAAAAAAAAAAAAAAAAAAGGCGATATACTTCTTTATTTATAAGATAATTTTCTTAGAGACAGGGCTTCATACCCATTTCTATGAGTAAGAAAATATTTGATTTGCTTGATACAATAAATATTTTAAATTATTTTTTTTGGTGGTCTGGTGCATCCACTGTTCATCTCAAGGTCCTGGACAAAATCCAGAGGTGGATATGCAATATGATAGGTCTTGATCTGGCATCTTGTCTACAGTCATTTTCTCATAGATGTGATGTGGCTTCCCTCTGTCTTTTCTACAAATATTTTCATGGCAACTGCTCCGACGAGCTACTTTCACTGATACCCCATCTGCATGAATTTAAGCATGCTACTAGGTTGGCATCTCAGTCCCACCCTTTCACTGTCAAAACTGTTAAATGTAACCGCCTTTTCTACTCTAACAGCTGCTTCTCTTGCACTTCCCACCAGTGGAACTCCCTTCCTCCAACTTGCTTTCCTGATAGCTATAATCTTCAAATATTCAAATTTAATGTCAATCGGCATCTTCTAATGCTTTGATTCTGATCTCCATCTTTCTCTATATCCTTTCCTCAAACACCCCTCTTTACTGTTTACTATTGTTCTCGCTCTGTAACCCCTTGCATACTGGTGCCACTCCCACCTTGCTTGGGGTGAAATGCTTAAAAAAATCATTTTTTAAAAAGTGGAAAATATAACCATTCTGGTAAATTTTCATTTCATCAACATAATTTATAAATCCTATAACCATAGGTACCTCCACTTATTTATTTTAAGGAGGACCAGAAAATTGCCCCAAACTTGATTAAAAACAAAGCTTTATCATCGAAATCTTTATTATTAAAAGGAAAGACCAAAGGACTTTTAGATTATTAAATTATGTTTTGTTATCCTTTTTAGAACGTTCTCAATTTTTATTTCAGGGGAAGAACAAGTTCATTTCACAGGGAAACGTCTACAAGAATTAGCAATTCCATTCACAAAAATAATAGCTTCTACAATGTCACGTGCTGAACAAACTGCCAAAATTGTCCAGAAATTTTTCCCTCAGTTGCCAATAGAAAACACAGATCTCCTCAGAGAAGGAAGTCCTATTCCACCTGAACCACCAAATGGAAGATGGAAACCCCAATGGCAGGTACAGATAATTTTTTCCTTTCTCTATTTGTAAAATTACTATGCACATTGTTGTATACAAAATATTTTTTTTAACAATCTTTGCATCCAAAAACAAGATACAAAAATTGATTTTAATTTCTTGCTACTTTTAAGATTATTTTTGTAGGCATCCCAATTTTCAATATTTCTAGAAACTTAATACAGGCATAGACCTTGAAAAACGATAAAAAATGGTACCTAATTTATTTTGCAAGTTCAATTCCCAACAAAGTTAGGACCATTCAAAATTTTCCATCTAATGTACAATTGGGCCAGAAGCTACTTTTACTATGTATAAGTGAAGATGCTGGCTTCAGACATGTTAAATATCATTATAAACATAATGTCATATAAGTAGTTTTGAAGTAAACGAAATATAATACTAACGGAATCAATAATTATTAGATCACACTAGCCTAAACATTAGGAAAACATAAGCTCACAAAAATGAAAGTTAAAACATGACATAGAAGAGCACTTTTGACAATTTGTGTTAGTTTAATTTCAACAGTTAATGCTTTGCAACTTCTTGCTATAATTCATTGCACAACAGATGAAACTAAATTTTTCTTCTTTAAAAGGAAATTGGACACTTATATAAAAATTTTATTTTAACTTATTTAAAAAATTTTTTTTAACACTTATTTAAAAAAAATTTTTTTAACACTTATTTAAAAAAAATTTTTAAAATTTTTTACAAACAAGTGTGCAAAATTTAAAGATATATAAAGATATATCCCAGTTAAATATTTATTTTATATGAATTCTGTTTAATGTTTTCTTTTTAGAGAAAATGCATAAAAACAGCTTAAATTGATTCAAGCATGGCAGTTTGAACAAAATGCAATGAATAATTGGTTTATACAGTTCTAAAATGCATCATTAAAGAAAATATTAAACAAAAATATAAAATACGTAATATCCATTGATGAAAGAAGTTTGTTTTAAAATGGGGTTCAACTGATGATTCTCATTCACTTAGTCAACAATACAAATTTTGATGCATCATATACAAAATGAACGCAATGTACCCAATACTTGATTTACATGTGCCTCAAGTTGTACAGGCACTGAGATATGAAACCAACTGATTAACGATGAAACATTACTTGACATGTATAATTTTCATTTTTTTAAATGTTAACTTTCTATGGTATTGTAAGGATACAGAAGGCGTTTATCTCCCTTTGGAAGATAAGTCCTGTAGTCAAATGATGACTGCTTTGTGACATCACTCACCACAGTGACTCAAAGCAGGATTAGTTCATGAATAGCAACTAAATGAGAAGGTTGCTTTTCTTCTAGCCTGGGCCTTTGGATGAAACAGCATCATGTACTTGTAAGCTCCCCAGCTTACAAGCACATGATGCCGTTTCCTTTTGGGACATAGATGAATCCAGCCCATTTAAACCTGGAGTCTTCTCCAGGTCAGGAATATCTTCAATTTATATGTAAGACCTTCCTTTCTGTTCCTCCTTACTTTGCTTTGTTATGTAGACATAATTCATTTAATGAATTTCAAGAAACTAGTCCAATAACATTCAGACCAGTAAGCATTCCCTCTGTTTACAAAGGGAAGGCTCACAGGATCTGATATACAAGGACTCTAGAACCTTGAGGTGAAATGTGGAGTGGGACCTAGATAAAATCAAAAAGCAGTCACCACTAAAATCAACCACACATTTCCTGCTATTTTTTACATGCTCAGCAATAGCAGAGCCAAAAATATTGATTAGTTAGTTTTTCTAGAATCCTGGGGGGTAAGTGTTTTTATTCTCAAATCCAAATGCTGGGACATCCTCCCTATGTAGTCAAGTCCACAACTACACTTATATTGATAAATAACTGAATTAACATGATGCGGGGTAGGTTGTCCTTACGAATGGATGAGAAAACAGGACGGGTAACAAACATTAGCCAAAAAATATCAGCTATTGATCATACAGGAAATTCATCAAGATAAAGTTTCACCCGCTGTACCAATATAGGGAAGATGCAAATAAACTGGATATTTATCAGCAAAATGCAGCTTAACCCTATGAAATTTATTAATGACATTATGGATAAGTCTAAAACATCCAAAGGATATCCATTTTTTTTGAAAGTGTTATCCTAACAAACTCAATTTCACTGCAGAGAAGGCTATCAGAACATATCTTAAGTGCCCTATGAATTAAGGCCTTAATCAAATTAATCTTTCATTGTCTGGAACAAAGTCCTAACTCATATAAAGTCCCGAAAAAGTAGCCTTCCTAAATACAGAAGTCACAAACTTGTCAATAATCTTATGGACAAGAACATCCAAAAAGGAAAGACCAGAATTGGACTCTTTTTCTATGGTAAACTTAAGAGCGGGATGGACAGAGTTTAATTTTGTGAGAAATTTGTCGGCTTCAGCCTCATTATTAAAGAGGCAGAAAGTATCATCCATATAACGATGATACACAAGAGGGTGACCAATGCAAGAAAATAAGGGAGCCTCATGAAACCCAACAAAAATATTCGCCAACACTGGACCCAAAGGCGAACCCCGTCAATCTGCCGATACATAATATTATCGAAACTAAATTTGGCAAACATGGTGGCAAACATCATGATATCCACAAACACACTCTCACGAAAATCCAGAGGAGACAAAGAGGTACGATACAGCATATCACAATACATCTCAATAGTCTCAGACATGGGAACACAGGTAAACAAGGTGCAGATATCAAACAAACACATGAACCCACCATAAGTAGAACTATGTATAATTTCAACAAAGGAGAAGGAATCTTTAATGCAATAAGTACTGAAGTGCGACAAAACTGGTTATAGCACTTTCGAGAGCCAACTAGCGACTTTATGCTGGGAAGACCCAATCATGGACAGAATGGGTTGTAAAGGGACACTGTCCTTATGGATTTTAGGTAACCTATACAAACAGGGACGAATTTACTAATAATAATTTTAATATCATTTATTTAATATTTATATTTAAAAATTTATTTAATAATAATAATCTTAATAATAATTTTAATATTATTTATTTATTATTTATATTTAATCATTTATTTTAATAATAAAAATTTTAATATTATTTATTTACTATTATAATTTTAATATTTAATATTATATGTATTTAAACTTTTATTTAATAATAATAATTTTATTGTTATTTATTTGACAGGAATTTCAACTGCAGCCAATTTTTCATTCTGAGCTGCTAACCAACTATACTAGCCACACATATGTACTTCACAATTTTCATAAAATAATTTTTATGAATTGATTCTAAAAGGATCTTTGGGATAATTATCGATAACATTCATGTGAATATTTATATTATAATTTGTCACTAATTGTTTTATTTTCATTATGCAAATATTTCAACTCATAATCAGTTTACATTGTCATTTTTACTGTTTACTTATAAAATTTTTGTTTCTTTTTAGTTTTTGACAGATGGTCCAAGAATTGAAGCTGCTTTTCAGAAACATTTCCATCGAGCTAGTGTCAGTCAAAAAGAAGATAGCTTTGAAATTTTAGTATGTCATGCCAATGTCATTAGATATTTTATATGTCGGTAAGTATATTTAATTTTTTTTTTTTTTCTTGATATTAAATAAGATTCAAAGATCATACTTTCATAAAATAATTATCTTCAATAGATTTAACCCATGAAAATATCAAGGGTTTTCCTATTTTAACATTCTGATAAATCTTAATTTTTAAATTAATGATTGAATAAGCTCAAGAAAAATTCTGCAACAATAAAATATCCATAGAAATTTATCTATCGGATTGTTAAATATTTGAGTTTAACAATATCAATTGCAATATCAATCATAAATATGGTTCTAATTTTAAGTGGATCCAAATGAAAAGATTTGGAAATGAAGAATTTTCCATTTCACTGAAACATCTATTAAACAGCTTTCTTTCTTTCATTTTTTCACTGAAACCAGTAATGTCTTTTCTCCACTTTCCACACAATCAAAATGGAATAGGTATTGGCAGGAGACATTAAACATTTCTATCTTCCCTTTCTTTCATTTTCTCACTGAAGCCAAATAGTGTCTTTCCACCTTTTTCTACAGGATCAAAACGGATTAGTCCATTATTTATGAGGTATTGGTAATAGACATTAAAATATTGCAATAACAATCATAAATATGAATGTTGGTCATTATTTTAAGAAGTGGGTGCAGATAAAAAGAATTGAAATTGATGACTTTCCATTTCACTGAAACTGCTGTTAAACACTTCTATCTTCTTTTTCTTTCTTTCATTTTCTTGCTGAAACCATGTCTTTTCCCTTCTTTCCACGCAATCAAAATGGAATAGTCCATTATTTATGAGGTATTGGCAGAGTCTAATGGTCATGTAAACTAATGAAAGGGGAGACAAGTGCAATTATAACAGAATTCTTGGTGCTACATAAGTGACTATCTGGATAATACTTTTTTGGTTATCTTAATTATTATTCTTATTCAAGGTGACAAATTAAAAACTGGAAATGTAGTTTTTATTTTTTGCTATGGATGTACACATTGGTCTTTATAAAGACATGTGTACATCTACAGTTGGTATAAAGATATAAAATATAATGTATATTTTTATTTATTTGCTTTAGAGTGAGTATTTTGGTATTTGGTGTAGCAAAATATTTAACAAGGTGGATATTGGTAGCAGTCTGGAGAAATGTCCAGTTCAACTCAGTAGTGGTAGTTCTGAAGTCAGACTGTGATAGTAGTCATTTTAGAAATAGGTCAGTAACAATCTACTATGTAGAGAATATGATTAGCAAATGACCTTCACGTGTCCAGGATGGCTGGTTTCTCAGCAGTCACATTCTCTTGTTCCTTGTTTTCTCTCAGCCTCCCTTCTCTCCTCTCTAGCTCAGGTGTGAGCTTATATCCTTTTGACAAGGTTCCAAGACTGGTGCAAACCTTGGTTTCAGATAACATCAAAAGTCTCTTTGTTAATTTTTTTTGATTGACGAAAATTATTTTATTTCCTAGCATTCCTTCTTTTTATAATGGACATTATGCTTGGGACCCCTGTGATTTTTGGTAGTTATCAGTCACAAATTAGTATGTTCTACTCCTGCAAACTTTTGGAATTTTTATGCTGGGGTCAGTCTTTTCTTCCTCTTTTTATTTGATAGTTGCCTTCTTGTTAATTGAGAAAGAAGTATATATAGCAAAGTTTAGAGAGAGAAAAAATATAGATAAGGGTTTTAAAGCAAAGTGTTACTGCCTTATTTTAATTTTAATTCTTTTTATTTTTGTTTATATATTTTATTGTTACATTTTTTTTTTTATCAAGTCTCACTACGATACATTTTTAAAACACCAAACATTTGTTTAAACTAACACTTAGTACTATTTCAAAACTAGTATAGACATCTAGTAGCATACTAAAGAATTGATGATTTTTTCCTGGAGTAGGTTGCCATTTCTTTCCAAAGCTATAAAACCCAATCTGTTCTGCTATTTTACCCATAGCTGGGGGGAAGAAGAGGAGGATTCATACCTTTCCCAAGGGTATTAGCACTTAAGTGAATGTAATGGATTTGACTATCCATTACTCCACTGTATGAAGTTAAGCAATGTAGAATCTGATTAGTACCTAGATAGGTAACCATTTGGGAATATCAGGTGCTGTAAGCTTATGTAGGTAGTGAAATGGATAATGGCTCGGAATTGGAAATCAGAATGGCGAGTTGCAATTTCAAGTAGATTCATTATATCCACTTATGTGCAAATATCCTTGGAATATTTATGAGTCTACCTCTTCTTTCAGATATATTTTCTACTTTTAACTAAACTTCAAAGGATTGATAAGCCATAGAAAGCAAAATCAATCAACTATAGCAAAATTGAGTATATATTCCAATTTAGGACTCTATGTAAAGTAGAAGCATCTATAACAATTTAAATATCTAGGAAGTGTTTTAATAAAGGACAGAAAGTGTGACACTAAAGTATTGGTAAAGCAAAAGATGCCTTCCAAAAGCTAAGCAACATATTATGAAACAGAAAAAATTTCATTTGGAACAAATCAAAGAGTACTGAACTGTT